GAAAAAAAAATATGTTTTTGTTTATTTTTTTTTTATAATTTTAAAATCATTATATTATTTTTATTTAAAATGACATTTGTCATCCTTAAAATGTCTTCATAAAAAATCAAGCACATCTCCAGGTCTTCTTTTTCATCTCCGATTTCTCGATAAAATCAAGCACATATACGGAGCCGGGTGCCCAAGTCCAAATGAGTCGAGTAACGAGTACGTCATCGCACGGTCCCACAAAGAACCGACTCTGATACCATGTGAGAAACGGAGGAAAATACAGGTGCGGTCCACGCAGATGTGTTCGCCTATATTTTTAAAGTCGACCGCAAGTGTACGGCTTCGCTCGTAGTATGTGGCAAGCAAGGTCGTATCCCAAGAGACCAAATAATTAATTAATCAAGTACAATATTATGATAGTGTCAATTTTATTTAGACGATGGAATATTAGATGGATTAACTAAACTAAGGAAATAAATCAAAGTAAATAAAACAAGAATAAGAAAACAACTCGAAAAACACTTAAGAAGAATATATGAGAATGGTAGATTCTAAGACTATGGGTTCAATTAACAGTTGGGTTCCTTCAAATATATCACAACTAAATATTTTCTTTATCTACCCTATAAGATGATCACAAAATTAGCCTATCGTCCCTCTCGAGATCGATAAAACCGTAGATTAAATCACATATATTAGCGTCTCCACTCAACACATGCAATTCAACTCCAAAAAGATTAAAAGACCCCAAAATCCTCACAACTCTCTACTAATCTCGATTCAAGTAAATAAATTGTGTCAAATATTAAAGATCTAATATTGAACTCATCTCTCGAATTCTGAACAATATCATCAAACATGTAAAAGCAGTGGCCAATTGCAATTCATGAAATAAGAACAAAATATTTGAATAAGGTTCAAAAGAAAACGATCAATTATGATAAATCATCCGAAAAATCTCAAACTATTAATCTACTACCATGTCTTAGAATCAAAGAAGTTTAGCTACTCATGTTTGAAATCAAATACATAGACATTCAAAATCAACATGAGAAAATAAGTTCAAAAGAGAGAAAGAAAAACTAGAAATCTCGTGGTTGATCTTCTCTTCTTCCCAATTGCTTCTCTTGTGTGTTCTCTAGCTCCCTT